GCACTTGGCACATGTAACAAAACCACATCATGTGATCTCAGGCAATAGCTACCTGCAACTCTCTGTGTGATCGGAGAGCAGATTTAAGATGGGAGTTTACCCAACATTTGATTTCCTTTGGGATTTTTTGAAAAGCTTAAATACATTTGGAAGTTTTCAGGCAACCACACCTTAATTGTCAGTATTCCAAATTTACAAAAAACAAACATCACAGGATATTAGAGTAACTTGTGGACATGACTTTGAGGATGACATGTGTACCTGGTGCAGTTGAGCGGACAGGAGGCATCTGCCCCTTTGAGAGGAAGTTACGCAACTGGGACTGTTTCACTGGCGATATCTTGACTGCGGGAGAAACATTTACAGTCAGTACATGTTGCAATTAAGAAATGGGATATCATTTAATATTCATATTTATAAAATATTTAAACATGGATACCTGGAGACTTGGGTTTGGGCATAGGAGGGTTGGTGTCCAGCCTGGCTTTCAGGAGTGCATCCCTTAAACTCTCAATCTCGCTTTCCAAGCTGTCGTAAAACAAAGAATCAAGTAGTTAAAGTTGCAAACATTTTTTCTAAGAGCAATTTGCTTTTTACTCTATGTATCAAATTATGAAAACAAATAAAACTAAGGTGAATTTATTCAGTTTAATTAATCCAAAACTACTAGATTTGATTTCTAGCCCATGCAAGTCAAGGTTAACTTGATATATAAAGTCACTGATTCCTAAACCTACTCCGTAGTATTCTCTCTCACAATAAACTCAAAATATAAAACAAATGTATGCCAGATATATTAACATTATTTCCTCCATACTGCTCATTACTGCTCGTACCCAGTAGCAGTTTCTGCAGCAGCAGCAGCACTGCAGCTTATAGTTGGAGCGGTAGTCTTGTTGTAGAGGCGCAGAGAAGTGAGCTGTTTGACCAACTGGTCCAGTCTGTTCTTCTGCTGGTTGATGATGTACAGGTTGTTGGCCAACGTAGTGAACAGACCCTCACGCCCTGGCACGACCATGTGTCTGTGAAGATCATGATTTCTTTTTAGCAAATTACACCTCAAATCTTTGTAGTATTACATTTTCAAAAATATTTATTTATGCTTCTTACTTCTGTTTTTTCTTTTTCTCCAGGTGTTTCTCCCATTCCACATCCAACACGTCATTGACATCTTCCACAGCAAACATGATGTACTGGTACAGCCTTCGTATCTCCTACATAAGGAATACAATTGATTAAAGGAAGGGGAAGGGGAAGGTGATTGGTTTAAAAGATTCATGAGAAGTATTCATTTATGCAAATGTTTCACCTTGAGTCGTTCCTCGCTGCGGGGGTCCAGAGGTTTTTTGTAAAGCAGCTGTCTGTAATTTCTGTCTCTGCTCAGCTCACTCTGGGTCTTTGCCTCTTCTGCCCCAGCAAAGCCCTCCAGTAAGGTGGTCTTCAGTGTACCAATGTCCCCATGGAGAGACTGCCCATCAGAATAAACAGATTAGAAGATGCTTGCCATGATGTAATACCCTACTATAACCACATTTCAAAGTGAGCTGGAGTGCTGTTGTTTTTGAAAAAAAACAACATGTCTATTTAAAATAATATAACCAAAAAGTCATTATGTTCTTTGAAGAAATAACATTATTATAACTATTTGGGGTTTCCCAGCACCATGTTTTGGTTTTCCAAACGCGTCCTTACCTCTGTTGTCTCCTTTATCTCGAGGGTGAAAATATGGAGGTCCTCTGACTCCTTCCTCAGCTCCTTCATCTCATCATTTGTGCCGACCTTGAAGTCAGCTCTCGAGCTTCGAGTCTTCAGATCATCTAACTCCTTCTGGAAGTGTGCGATCTGATGACAAGTTAAAGACATGCTTGGTTACAAAAAAATGTGAGGACTGATTTCAAAACTTGGTATTCATAAAACGCTATCTTAATTGTGACCGAGAATGAAATATTAGCATGATGGTTTGACTTATATTTAGATTTGTGTGAAATGTAGTCTACCTGTAGTCTACATGGTTATTATCATGACTTATTATTATCTCTTTTACTGTTCAATCTGGATTCGTCATATCTTCATGTGACATTGGTTCTGTCCATTAATGTAGTTGAGTAAGCTAGCAGTATGTAGCTAGCATTATATGCTAGTATTTTCACATATAGTTTTGGCCATGCGACTTTCAAGTTCACAAAAATGAAGTGGTGCATTGTCCTCCATCGTGTACTGTTTGATAAAACTCACCTCTTCAAATATGCCAACCATAATTGGATCAAAGTCTTTCTTTTGCTGCTGCTTCTCCAAGGCCTTGATACTAACAGCTGCCTGCTTTGAACATATTAAATCAATAAAAATTACAGTAAAGTCAGTAAAAAAAAAAACACACACACCAACTAGTTCACACAAAGTTAGTTCAAGCTAAAATTAAATTTGCAAGCATTTCTGTAATGTGATTTAGTTACATTTGTCTTCTGTCACCTAGAGTTGATTTCAGATTGAACATGCTGTTGCTAGTAGCAACTGCTACTGGCACAGTTCCGTGGCAGTTTAACCGACATTGCTACATCCAACAATTTCTCAGATCTGTTACTGCGACCATCTCACATGTTTTATTTATTCTCCTAATAACGTTGTTGAAGTATTATCTTAAAGGTTTTTTGATTGTGTAGTTATGAATTTTCAATTTACTGCTTAAAAAGCTAACCATTGTGCTTATTGTTATAGTACTATAATATGTACATTATTTGACTATTTGGTATCTTTTACTAGAGAGGACTGGATGATTAGTATATCAATTATCTTGGTTTTAATCCTGTTAGGACTAAATGTTGTTCTTTCGCTGGGGATTTATTGTTTATTGTTACAGTGAGGTATATCGTCATTCATTCGCTAGTTTTTTTGTTACTGTACTGAACTATCTCAACAACCATTGTGGTTAAACTCTTATCCAAAACAGTTTAAGAATTGCTTCTTCTTAACACTTTAAAAGACAGCTATGGTGTTCAACCTATGTTATTCACTTGTTTAACTCACTACACACATGGTGAGGACATGGTGAGGATTTTTCCAACTTTGGTACTACCGAGAAAACAAAGTTAACATGTCCCTCTGCTGGATACATTTATCTTGACATATTTTGAGCAAAATATCAACCACTATTGAAAAGCGGTCTAGTTAACACAAACAAATCTTCATAATGAACAATGACCTGTGGTGTTTGGACGCGGCCCTGTGCAGCAGGAGCAGGCGCAGGCTTCTGGACGACTGTGGGGGGCGTGCTGATTTGAACTGGACGCACTGGAGCTGAGACACATAACGTGATTCATATCACAAACCAAGCCATGTACACTCATACACACTTGTGCAAAGAATAAAAGCAAAGGCACTGAGGCTGGACTTCCTTACCCATTACAGCTGGAGGTTTAACGGCTGATGGTGGAGGGGCGGTCAAACTACCGGAAATGGGGGTCACTGGTTTGGGCATTGAGGGATTGAAGGAGAAAGACTGTGGAGATGGTGCTGGTGTCTCCAGTGCTGTAAACCTTGGAAATGAAAATACATATTAGACCCTCCAGAAAAACGCGATTCTGCGATCGCAGAATTTACCGCATAATCAGCAAAATGGCGCAGATTTCTAAAAGGTCGCATATTTATCAAAAGGCCGCATAATCCCCGAATTTTTCCACACAAAATTGAGAAGAAAAAAAAGTTAACTCGTCTTGACGTGACGTCATCAGCTCGCGCATCACAGAATGTAAACAACACTGTATAGAGTGAACGTGTGGGGCTCACACGATAGAGAAAACAACAAGATGAAAAAATCTAATCCATCTCATTTACCGACGAACATTTCTACTAAAGACCGGGAAAAAAGTGGGGGGAAACTATTCTGCACCCCGTGCAACTGTGTGTTGGAGCATAAGAGAAAATCGACGGTGACGACCCACTTTGATTCATTCAAACATTCGAAAATGCTTTCTGCTGCTGCGGACAAGAAAGCCAAACAACTCACGTTCACGAGGCATCAACCTCCAAAACCCTTTCGAGGGCTACAAGAAACGAAGTGAGTAGCCTACAAGATTGAAGCTGGTCAGATAACGAACGAGTAAATGAAAACAGAATGAGGCGGAGAAGTGTGTGCGTGTGCGTGTGTGTGTGTGTGTGTGCGAGAGAGATGTCGTGTGTGTGTGTGTGTGCTGTGTTGTGTGGGTGTGTGTGTAGAGTCGTGTTGTGTTGTGTGGTGTGTG